TTTCGATAGAAATATCTGAGAAACATGATTATTAAGATTTGTTTAGCACGAGTGCTTACAAATCTCCTGACAAGTTGCTAACTTGACTTGAATAAATCTAGAATTGAATTTAGAGTTCTTAAACTTAATCCCTTTCTAAGGTTCTGAATCCACTCGTCCACGATATGGGGATCTCCTTGCCCCGAAAATTTCTCAACATGATAGTCGCGAAACTGTGCGATTACTGTGACCTGAGTAAGAACCGGGTAATCGGGTTCCCTACGGGGCGGCATCTGAATATTGGAAAAGTTCAACATTATTGAACACATGATAATATACTTTGACTGATTACTAAGGCACGCAGATCTCTTGACGAGTTGCCAAAACTGACTGACAAATGCTGACATGAATCCTGAGGAACTCTAGAGTCATATCGGACGATACTGAATTCTAGAGTCATATCTGAATATACTAAATTCTAGAGTTATATCTGAACTCTAAAGTCTGAATCTGATTCGAGCATCTTAACTAAGTCTGATTACTGATTTCTGAGCATAGACAAAGTAATATGTTTATAACTGAAAACTGAATCAGCACTTACCTGGAGTCGGCGAGGTGTGAGCGTGACGGTTCAGGTTTTTCTGAAAATTACTGACTGAAAAACTTTTCAGAGTCGCAAAAACATGCTCTGATACCAATTGTAACACCCCGACTTTTTAATACTATCAGAGTACGCATTTTTCACAAATTTACTGAATAAATAAATAAAATTTTTATTTTGCGAAACCTGATTCGGAGTGCTACCGTGAAAACTTGACTTTTCTGAAAACCGTTAAATTTTTAAACTGATAATTAAAATGGTTTTAATATTTCAACCGACTAACGTCGGATCAAAAGCTGAGTTTTAAATACTGAAAGTTTTAGCGGAAATAACTGCGTGGCCAAAACATATATACATATATATACAAATATCCTGAACTGCTCGCCAGCTCACTCCTCGTCCCCGACCATGCGACCTGAAAAACATGAAATATGTGGG